GTGATATGTGTCAGATAATAGGTATAATCACTGTCTAAATTGCCCACATTTCTTGTGTATGTCCACAGTGGACAATACCAAGGCCCAACCTTCCGGATCATCCATTTTCATACGCTCAGCTAGCGCATCAAAACGATCCCACCACCAACGATCCATGACATCGAATCCTTTGTCGGATCTGCTTGGTGTGATTCGGGATTGCCACGGCTTATCGGCATATATATAATGCAGACAGCGAACCTCGTCCTCGGACCACATGGCAGGGTGGACATTTCGGTGTGAACGAAAGGCGTTGTAGGACCACGGGATAGGATGCCATTTCCCCTTGAAATACTCCGAGAGGAGGTCCTGATCTGGAAAAGCCCATTCCGAAACGCGTGGATGAGAAGCGAGAAATTGCTGAATACCGCGAAGAGCTCTTTGGAGGGGTTGAGAACGACTGTTCCCGAATTGAGCTGGGAATACGGACGCGGGAATTCTGCTGGATCGAAGGTGGTTTCGCAGTAGAAATCTTAACGGTACTGTACGCGCAGTTGGCTGGTTTCCTGAGCAAAAAATAAATATCAATGTTATCTTTTAGCCATATTTAAAAGATGCGAAAGAGCTTACCAGTCCAAGGGGTAGTGCTTCAACGCGCGCGGGTTGCATGCACACACATGCACAGCGCCGATGTGGTCATTTCCGCGGAGGTCGGTATCCATTAGCTCGTCCATGTTTTTGAGGACGATCATGTCACTGTCGAGGAGGACTATCCGCTGAGATACAGAGAATTTAGCTCACTCAAGGAGACTGAAAGATCTGGTAGTATTTTACCTCGAATTGAACAAGTCCAAAAGCCCTATAAAAAATAGATTGGCTTCTAATGACATAAACGACAAGGTCACCCCAGCACACCTTAATTTAGTCCATGTATCCGCGAAACGGGAGTCGTGTGCGTGTAAATTGTGTTTTCCTTCCGGCGGACGAAGTGTTTCGACTTCTGTGATGCCTATCCGCTGCCTGGACAGAACCTTTCGCGCACTGTCGGGCAAGGATGGCGTCACCATAACCACCAGCCTATACTTCGACTTGACACGGCGCAGAGATTGGTTCAAAACCAGAACACCTGGGAGATAGGAAATCGAGGTGAGGAGAGTAACGTAAGCTGCCTTGGAGGGCATGTGAACGATAGTTGGGTCGGTACGGGGTTTATGAAAGTTTAGGAGGAGAATTGTACGAGCATTTAAAGGAGAGTCCGGCAGGTCCGCATTTGTCAAGCTAGCTAATATGCGCCGCCCTCTTGTCTATTTATACAGGGCGCAGCAATTGGTATCGACGTTCACGCATCAAGTACGCTCGTCCTCGATAGACTCACACTTGACTTTCACTTTCACTCTTGATATCCCCATTATTGACGTCGAGAATTTTTCCTGCAGATTAGGAAATTAAGATAAGAATATCCGAGTTATTAATATGTGAATGACCCGGGGCTGGTACAAGTGCCTGTCGTGGTACTCATCAATCTTGCATACCATATAACGGTCAGCTCTGACTTCATATTATATAAACGTCATCGGGACTTGTGGCACAGCACAGCCACGGGATCTAAAGCCGAACCAGTATGTAACTCGGAGGCTCCTTGGCACATCCCATGAGGTTGACTGGGCAATAAACTCCGACGCGAATGGCAGAAATTGGACGACAGATTATTGATATTCTCTTTTGAATCATTGGCTCTAGATTTCTGTGCCCACCCACTGCATTAGCTCTGTTGGTGCGACCATTCGCCAATTCGCTAGTCACCACCATATGTTTTCTATCACGACTTCGTAGAAAGAAGGGCAGAAGAAATCACTCGTATTGCAGCGGCCCGTAGAACTTGAACTTTGAACACTTGTTCAGCCACCTGAGCATTCACCTGCACAAATCTATTTTTATACGCATCTTCTCGAACGGTCGTCGACTGCATAAGACTCCCCAGAACTCATTACAGAAGGATGCACTCCCCTCATGTTTCTTCCAGCAATCATAGCTCTGCTCTCTGCTACTAATATAGGCGCCTTAGCGCGGCCCAGCTCCTACGCTGTCTGGGCTGCCGATTCCGCTATCGCTCGAGGCCAAGGGAATGGCCTTGATGCTAATGGAAACGCGATTGTATCTTACGAGCACGGGGAGCTACAATGGGGCCTCCGACAGCTGTACGAGAAGACGAACAGCAAGACCTATTTCGATTATATCCAGAAGGGCATCGATAACGTCGTATTTAGTAATGGGACCGTTCATGGAAGTTATAGGTATGCATCGTATTAATATATCAGAGTGAAGCTCAATTAATCAAGAACAATATTGAAGCGTTGCGAGCTATGTTTTGGACCCTTTGAGGAAAGCCATCGTGAAATGCTTTTGTCTATGCTAAGATTGCTGACTCTAATCCATATAGAACTGGTCCAACAATGATTTACTTGTGAGTCAATTATATCGACGTGTACGTATTAATCTGAATGCCGTGTCTATGTAATGATCTGCGGTATTGCTAGATACGAGGAAACTCGTTTAACACAGTATAAGACTGCCGCAGATATTTTCCGCAGCCAGCTCGATTCTCATCCTCGTACGGCCCAAGGTCAATTTTGGCACAAACTTGTTTACCCTAATCAAGGTATGCATAATAAGACGAGTTTATTTACTGACCCCATCGCTTATCAACAAATGAACTAGGCTGGTTAGATGGTATTTACATGGGAGAGATCTTCTATGCCGATTACACATCGAAGTTTGAACCCACGAATAGAACAGCTTGGGGTACGTTCTCTTATCTGAGCCTAGGGGCGAAACGGCGTTCTCATGGCGTTTTCTAGATGACATCACTCAACAGTTCGTCCTCATGTTTGAGAACACTATCCAAAACGCTACGGCGCCGAATAATACAGGACTCATGTATCACGGCTATGACTATTCACAAGTCGCTGCTTGGGCGTCTGCTGATCGAGGACACTCACCCGAAGTGTGGGATCGCGCGCTTGGCTGGTACTCCATGGCCCTCGTAGACATTCTGGACATCATTCCGAAATCTCATCCTGGCCATGCGAAGATCCTATCAATTTTGCAGACCATCGTACCACACATCCGTGATGCCGCAGATCCCACGAGTGGAGTATGGTGGCTGGTTATTACGGAACCCGGAAGGACGAAGAACTACTTCGAAAGTAGTGGCGCGGCGATGTTCGTCTACGCGATGCTGAAAGCAGTCAGACTCGGGCATGTTGAAGATAGTAATGGAAGCATTAGTTCTGCTGCAAAGAAGGCGTACGACTATATGATTAATAACTGGGTAGTGCCAAACTCCGATGGTACGATGGGCTGGTTAAACACTGTTATTGTGAGCGGGCTCTTGTCACACATACGCACAGTCTGACGTAGCGGTGCAGGTCGGCAGCCTTGACACAACTGGAGATTTTGATGTACGTTCTTGTCAATCTTGCAACGGGCGAGTTCGGACTAAATATCAATCATCCAGTACTACACCAGTGAACCTATAGATCTCAATGACTTGAAGGGCCTGGCGGCGTTTCTGCTTGCCAGCTTGGAAATTGAGAAAATTTAATACGGTAACCTTAGGTGACAGATGACGGTAGACTATCGATGGGTCGGGTCGGGGATCTCGGTGTCTATGGTATGGAACGACTACGAATTCTGAACTTTATCAATCCGATGTATGTACCTGGTGTGTACCCTCAATATCATTCAGGTATTGGGTCGGTCGTAGTATGTACTAAACCGAAAATGTTTTGTATACGCTCGTTAAGGCTTGTGGATATCGAATGTCCGAGGAGACCTGTTCATAATGATTGTCTACGATTTTTAGTCTCTAAATCGTCAACCATGTGAATTGAATTTCGCCACAAAGGAATATGATCAAGGTGGCCATATTCTCGGGTCGAGCGTTGAGTAATGAGAAACACGTATACGCTGCGGCAGATTTAAACATCTGCATAAGTAGATAATTGATCGGCACACAATACTTATTACTCGTTATCAGTGTAACATGTAAAAAACGAGTAAGGCGGCATGCGAAAATTTTATACAGCTATTTTAAAAAATAAATGCAAAGCCACCTCGTACTTTCTTTTCGAGTAGTGTTGTCCACCGTTCTGACGTCAAGCGGCAGGGCAAAGTGGGGCAGAGCAGGTTCGTCGCGTAAATTGGGTGTTACTTCATTAGATCGAGCAAAAATTTGGTTTGAAATCCAGCAAGATGCAGCTTCGTGCACGGCCATTGTTGAGCAAAAGGCGGCTTGCGTCATGCCGCAAACTTCATCCAAATGGCACTGCTTGCGACCCCACACCGCCACTTCAGCGAAAAGCTCAGGCAGTTCAGCGTTTTGAGAATAGCTGTAGTACATGCCCGGATTATCTACGCTTTAATATTGCAATGCAATGACTCAGTGAGCAATGGTCGTGCAATTATGAATGCCGCAACATGAACAAAGCTGGATTCGTTCGCATCAACCTATTATTTTTCGCACTGAAATATCAAAGACTACAAACTGAGTGAGAATTTCATCGTCCTGACTGGACTGTCAGGCAATTAATAAGCTTACCGAATGTATAAGGAAAGTATTTCCTTCTTTATTCGCGCTACCTGAACAATCAAAGCAGTACATCATTGCCCGACATTACCCAGCTATTGAGATATTGGCGCTTCCGCTCTCGCGACGGTTCTATAGACCATTTCCAGAAAAATGTCTACATTAGCAGTTCCCACTCCCATTCGCCACTTTTAAGCGCCATGTAATCAGAGTTGCAGATCATTGGATTTGGAAGTGTTCAAGAAATATTTACCCGTCACGAAGCAGATGTCACTTCGCAAAAACACCTTTCAGGAATGTATCCCCAGCCTCAAAGACACTTTCTATAATCTCTCGACGAAGACGGAAAGGAAATTTAAACCGTTGTGGGAAGCGCAGATGGTACATTTCCAAGCCACGCGTGGCATGTGAGCAAATACTTACACAAATGTAATCCGGTATGGTGTAACGGCTAACATTACCGCCTTTCATGTAACCCCACGACTGGCGCGCGGTAGCTCGGGGTTCGATTCCCCGTACCGGAATTTCTTTTTTTTTGCATCAGGTTTTGAAATTTCTATTGCAGAAATTCTGTCCCGACTTGCCACTTGGACATCCCGACTCTTTGGGGTTCGTCACAACACGAGTATCCCTGAAGGCCTGAAGGCTGAGATGGTGAGTATCTACAGCGACTTATAAGTCCGAAGTCGTCGACTCAATGTACATTGCAAATATTGTATAGCTGCAGCCTGCAACTCGGGTCTACAGCAATTATCAGTCTTCAGAAAAGAGATTAAAATGCTACAACTTGTAAGTCCTAGTCGTGACTTAATGCAAACTGGTATCAGACTATCAGTTGAAACTCGGAGTTTGCAAGCACTCAGTGACTCAATATGGTCAAAAAAAAGAGATTGGGAATCCAGGTTGCCATGTGAGCAAAAGGTATTCCGTGCCCCCTGCAAGGTTCGAACTTGCGACCTCAGGATTGCGTAACTTGCGTTACTCATATTTGAGATATGAGACCTGCGCTCTAACCAACTGAGCCAAGGAGGCTTTACGACGTTTGAGAAATTGACATCTTGTGACGTGACCGTGATCTCTGACACCGAATTAGGTAAGCTACTACACTGGCCAAACGGCGACTCCTCATCGACATCGACATCGCCAACTCATCGCTCTGAATCTGGCTCCAATCTGCCTCGCTATCGCGCTCTGCATTGCTCCAGTCTTCACCTGGCCCTCGTTCTTGCACCTCAGGTACGCTGTTCTGGCCCTATCCTATCTTCCTTGCAAGAATTCTGAACGCAGTCTAATCATGCGTATAGGCGAAGCTGAGTTTAATCGTTGTTGAATGAATGAGAGAAGTTAGAACCTTCCAGTTGCTTGACACTAAAAGTAATGCTCAGAGTCAAGGTCAATTATCTTCTTTCCCTTTTTAAAAATGCCACCATGACTATCCTTCAGAAAACGGTCGACTGATCGTTTGAAAGCTTCGATGTGAACGGCTCGGAGGCAAACGGTCTACTCAACAGACTTGGCCACATGCAGAACCCAGCAACAGACTCGAACGTGTTTAAAGGATAGTTGCAGGGTACGGTTGCTTGGACTGTTGTATAGAGCCACGATCGAAAAACAATCGAAAAAGCTTCTCATATATTCTCTTGCCAACTCGCTGCCCCTGCGAATTTCAGCCTCCACCGACGGATCCACATGGTCTCAAATCATGAGGTTTTCTTTGGGCTTTGTTCTTGAAGCCACTTCTTCCGTTGACATTGTCGAATCAGATACATATCCCACTGTTTCTAGGCGACATTTGGTGAAGAGAGACATCGAACTCGCGAACGATGGATACCCTTCGATCACTGGAAAGTGTCCCAAAGGCAGGCTGAGGAATAGATCTGCGTACATTATGACCTGTTCTATGACAACTCAAACCGAGCTGAGTTTCCTATTTCTAGATATCTTGACGAATTTTGCTCCAATGGACCCTCCTGTACCGATCTAGCAAAGGTCTGCCATGACTCTCGGTAACCACGACTTCGACGACAGTGATGGCCTCCTCGCCGATTTCCTGTATAACCTCTCACTTTACCTATCATTTTTAGCAACGTTCATTGTAAAAACCCAAGCAGATTATCAGATTTCCGCCAAACATCGTCTCGCTGTTTTAGCTGTAACGATAAAAACAACGGCTTTCATTTCGAATCCTAGCAACCTGACAAAATATCTGAGGACTCGATCGCCGCGGCGACGCGCACGGAGGCGTCGTCGGTCGACGAATCGCATTGTGTTTTGACTGATACTACTAGTAAAGACATCGAACTGCACCGGCTACAAGGATGAAGGGATCTTTTGCTCATCATCGGTGGTCATTCCGAAATCTTATAGGGCCCTTAGCCAATCATCGCCACAAAACTCGACGGCGAAGAAGTGTTCGTCGCCACTGCTTATCACTGGCGTGAATATCTGGGGTACATTGACGTGGAATTCGACTACCGAGACAAGATCGTTTCATACAAAAGTGTCCCATCCATCCACCTCACGAAATACGACCGCGGAAAAAAAAATCACCCAAATTGAAGGCCGAAGTCATAGAATGGGCGACAGCCTTTGCCGCCTACGCCGATGCTATCATCAGCCTCACTCAAAAGCCCCTCGGCCAAACGACCTGCCAACAAGAGGAATGCACCTGGGCGCCTTGACGACTGACGCGTTGGAAGATTACCGTCCGGATGTCATTGGGGGTAGGGTCTTATTAACATTGGGTGTGGGCTGTATGTGTTACTGCCTTCTCGCTGATCGAGTACGTGTTTGACGATCTGATTCTTGGACGGTCTAATGTTCTTTCTGATCACTTAAAACTATATATATGTATATTGGATTTTTATATATTGGTACGAAGTTGAAGCAGAGCATATGGAATGACATATTTGGTAGTTATTCAGGCAGCTATCGAAGAGTCAATGGGGAAGAAAATTTAGGATCGTGAAAAGTCATGTTTGTGTGTTATACATTCTGCAGTCGGGTTTGTTTACTATACAGCAGATTAGCAATCAAGAAGGCACCGTAATTCAACTCATAACATACCGAAAAGTACATTAACAACCTTTGATTCTGATGGAGTGGCTTGTATGCTTCCTTATAGGCTTCGAGACCTATCTGACTTTGGCCAGAGGCTTGAGTGCCGGCATCAGAAAGGCCGAGGGGCTCATTCGGACTGAAGTGGTTCTTCGCGCGTGAGCAAACTCTATCCGCATCTAACGAGTAAGTTAGTGTCATGGAAATCCGACGCGTTTGAAGAATAATCAATGACATACAATACACCGGAGCTGGAATGGAAACTGAGCGCGTAGCTGGAGCGTAGCAGTGGCATAAAGCAAATGATAAGGATTGAAGAGAATCGGCACTGTAAAACATTCGTGAGTTTCCGATGTGGTCACAAATCAAAATATGGATAGTTACGTGAATTCAATTTCCTATGCGATAATTCGTTAGCTTGAATTTACAATTTTTTGTCCTAAGATATCGGATTGCTCACTCACATCATGAAGTACCTGGTGTAAAGTTCCAATTAACTGTGATCAAGGATAACACATGGGACAGCGACGCACAGTGTAATGAGCCGGACGGCTTGTTCCCAGAATACCAGCATGACTGCAGAGGTAGAAATCGAAGTCGGTTGGGTGGGTGATTTCGGTGTCAATCACTGTTCCGGCAGGAGCGTTTTTACTCTCAGCAGGGGGCCCGGTGTGCGGAGGAAACATTCTGCAAAATACTAAGTTCAATCACAAGATAGAAAATACTCAGACGCTCGATGATGCTTACTGGGTATGATGCCTCTTTCCGACAATGATCAATGTAATCTTCGGATTCATTCCGAGCTCCTCACAAGCCTCTGCAACAAATCATTGATAAATTTAGATGTACGAATTGAACGCTTCGGTTACTAACTTCTGATCAACGGAAGTTCTGAACCAATTTTCAATCATGGGTTCAATCAAGCAAGGAACGAGTCGATACTCACCCAGATCTTTGACTTTTTGAATTCGCCTTCGGAAACACCATCTATAATACCATTGTTGAACGATGCAGTTGCTTATTTTCGATTCGGGGCACATACCTCTGTAGAAAATCAGTCTTTTGGGCTTTGCAGCCTCCGCTGATTTCTTCTCTTGATTCATGCGATATTTGTGGTATAAGTTAAGAACGTGCTGGTAGAGATAAGGTTTTATATTCGTAAATGATAAATATCTGAATCATACCTTGCACATGTCTTTTAAGTCACTTATGGTCTCTTGACGTCCCGTTTGAACACGCGAAGTGCCCAGGTAATACGAGGCATTAGAGTCTACACTGCCAACGACAGCCGTAAAAGAAGGTCGGTCATTCAGTGGACCAGGGCCTGGATGGATTACATCGGCGCCTGAAAGTACCGTTAGGCGCTGAAGTGGGAAGGAAATGGAGATGTGGTACCTATAACTATAGCGGGATTGCGCGGATCGTTGATTTCCGACATGGCAGCGGATTCGGCGATAGAATTGATTCCCCCAAGCTTGGCGTTAACCCTACACGTGGAGGTGTCAAAATGTAAACAACCAAGAATCTACACGGATTCAAAAGAGACTGAACATACTTGAGCATGACGTTCATCCAATATTGTTGCTTTGCTCCGGATCCACACTTCTTGGCCATTAGACATTGGGTTGCGATACCCACCTAGATAGAAAAAATAAACCTTAGTGGTTGCTAATAAGTAGCGCTGATCACAATAAGAAACATACCGAACAATCACCAAAGCTTCAACGATGTAAGCTCAATTAAAACATAAATTTTTCAAACAAGAAAGAGCGACATACTGTTTGACTGCGGTGTAGATTTCGTTCGCTCTTTCAGGGAGAATTACGACCATCAAATTCGGGAGGCCCCCACGTTGCGCTGCGCATTCCTTTCCGACCTCTTTCAATTGCTTGAGAGAATATGAGCATGTACATCTATCAAGCTTAGACGCAGGTTCACTGACCATGTCAATCACTCCCTGGCCATTCGCAATATATTTGATGAACGGCTGCGGTGTCTTTATTACGATTCCTAGGAGAGATTCGGATACGATTAGACGAGGGCTTCGATTCGCCATTACGGGGCGACTGAGCTTGAACTGAGCACGCACCAACATTTGCACATGCCTCCTGAAAACCTTTGACCATGCCGTTTATGGCGCTGTCGTTGAAGCGGCGATGGTCTTGATATATCACAACCGCCCACACGGTAATAGAAGAGGCCTTGTAGAACTTTTTATCGACCCTATGGTACAAAAATCAATCAGTTTATAACACTTGGTGGTAGAGACAATAATATAGACAGCGTACATATTCCATGCCCCATTTCGAGGATTCTGTTCAACGGTTAACACTAGATCTGAGCGGTATCCGAAAGAACTTGCCTGAACTGCCTGGCGTCCTTGTCCACTGTATTTGAGGTTGGGCGGTTCAATAACGCGCGCACCAATCTGCAACGGTTGACGACTAATGGACATTCCAAATTGGGT